ATTCTATCAACTGTGTAGTGTTCTTTTGTGCTTTGCTTCTTTCTGTTCTATCCTTATCTCTCTCTCTCTCTCTCTCTCTCTCTCTCTCTCAATCAGAAAACATTCACGCTTGGACTGTCAGAGAATATATACCCGAAGATATTATCGCTAGGATCAGTTCGTTATTAGAGCCAATCTAATATTCTGTGAATGAGACGGAATGGCAGAGCACCAATCCTCTATGCGTCAAACAGAACCGAACTGATCGTTGCTACATCCTGAGAGTCACTAACAACAAAGCGATCTTACACCGAGGATATTCACAATTGTTATAAAAACAGCAACCTTTGATGCATTTCTCCCTTCTGTGCATTTTTATTTTGAGATATTTGTACAGTAAACATCGACTGAGAGAAAGAACGTAGAAAAAGCCTTTAGATATAGTGCATTTTTTAAGAAGACTTTTTTAATCTACACAAAATGTCTGAAGAAACCGTGCAACAGCAAAATTTATATTTAGGAATTTATATTCTCTCGCTCACTGGAACTGCTGTGTACTTACTTTGCAAACTAGTTGATTTTGTTTCTGTTTTGAGAAACTTAAAAAAGCAGATATGACCTAAGTATATAGACTATATGCACTTATATGAAGCATGTTTTCTTCATCAGAAATTTACATAAGACAAAATACATGTCGGATACACACATGTATTTTGTGTATTTTGTACACACATAAACGAAATTAAAAATATCGAACGGTAAATGTTTCGAAAGGTAAATGCTTCTTCTGTTTTCTTTAACTCAGACAGAAATGTATTTTAGAGATGCATGTGCTCCTGCTATGAAATCTACCTTACCACACTTTTATAAGATTTTTCTTCAAACGAAGAAACATGCATGCTTCATATGAACGCATATAAATGTTTTATCTGAATCGCGAACGCGACGCGATCCAAGCCAGGAACACGATACGATTTGATGTGAATCTTCTCAATTTGTTTTTAATCACGATCCCGACATAATCTGAATAGCGAACGCGACGTGACCGTTCGCGACATGATGGCGCCAAGAATAAAGCGCGAATGTAACTACGGCCCATGGATTTACCTAGAAAAGGCACTGAATCTTTGGTATTTTCGGGAAAAGAAACACACTTTTTTCGGCCAGAGTTGTTTTCTGATTCAGTACTAGCTAGAAAACTGAAACAAAGTACCAAAAAAAAACTTTTCCAAAAAGGTGGTAAGTTTCTCATGGATTCACCCCTGTACGTTATTAAAAGTCACACTTACAAAAGACCAAGAATTATTATAAATAGCCAATAATAAAACTGTAAGAAATATTACAATTTCATAAGCTACTAATTGAGAAGAACTACGTAACCTCCCCAAAACTCCATAAGAACTAACACTAACTCAACCCATGGACTTGCACAGCTATTACGCGATCTCATTTTTAAAAACATTTTTTCAGTTTTTTTATAATGCTTCTCTTATTCTAGGATGTTAATCCGCCATTCCAGAAATTTTCTATCCATTCCGGAATATACTTCTCAGTATATTACATCACGGGTTGCTACCTGTTCCATTTTTTTCACTAGTCGAATCTGCTGAAACAAAACTAATTCTCAAAGAAAGATCAGTCAGATGAGAAAGTTTTTAAAAAAAAGCATCAGGTAGAGAAACCTTTTTCATCTCCCTGGACGACAGTGTTGATCATATTATACAGTTGCGTTCAGCGCGGAGCATAATATGATCAACGAAGGGAAGTAGTACTTTATCACCCTTCGCACATCTTGCTGATCAAAGTTGGTTTCGTATTAAACATCAGCTTGTTAAATTAGTTAGTTTTCTATTTAACAGCGAAAAATGGTTAAAAACTTGAATACACATAAACCAAAAGCGTATCCATTAAAATAGTAGTATCTCTGTTTTCTCTTACCTTGACTGTGGTATAACAATTTTTACCTGCAATATTTTACGAAATAATTTTTCTCGCATTATACTCGTTTCTGTTTCAAAGCAATCAATCAATCAATCAGTCTATTTTAATACGAATGTGTCTAGGCTGTTACAAAAAAGAAAAACTTAAATGAATGTAACCCCTGTTCTCTCATTAGTATATACAAAATGATATTTACCAACTTATTCTTCTGTACTATGGGATATAAAGTTACAGAGAGGTATATTATACACGGGACCACATAATTTTAATCGCATAATGGAAAAACTACATACCGTTTGTACACTGGTGTGTTAATAAAAATTTTCATGGCTCGTTATATTTCAGATCAAGTCGGAGTCCTTTCATGAACGCAAATATGAAATGTTGAAAAAAAAGAAGAACGAGATAAGACTGTCACTATATAATACCATTTTTTGTGTCTCATGGGAACAGGGGTTACATTCATTTAAGTTTTTCTTTTTTGTAACAGCCTAGACACATTCGTATTAAAATAGACTGATTGATTGATTGATTGCTTTNTACGGTCCCAATTTCGCTCTTTTTTTTAAAACCATTTTTTTGGGGCCCAGGCAAAATTAAAATAATATCCCACCTTTCCTCGCCCCCCCCCCCCCCCTCACTGTGATTTCCAATGTTTCATTACTTTAAATATGAATAAGAGTCTCTTCATCAATAGTCTGTTTTGAAATTAATTATTATCTCGTGTACATGGTGCCATAAATAATATTCACATATATTTCAAGACTTCATGCCTGAGTTTATAATAATACGAAATTTAAAGTGAATACTGTGTTAAGAATGTTTAACCTGTGTGCATGACTCTTAAAACATGTATGACAGGTTAACGGGTAGGTTAATATGGATTCTTACATCACAAAGAAATGTCTATCTGTTTGTTTTTGTAATTCATAAATCTATATGTCTGAAAGTAATACGATTGTTATTAGATAAAAAGCTAGAGCAATTAATTAATAAACATTAAATTGAAGCGATCAAGCAGCTAACATTCGACAGCAACTTTGATAAAATTACATTCGTCAACAGTATTCTCCCTTCATCACAATTATGTGTTTGCCACTGTGGAAGTACACGCCTATTGTAAACTAAGAATATATCAAGATATACTTATCAACAACAAAAAAATCTATTAAATACATCTGCAGATATGGATCAGTAATAGAAAGGAAAAAACAGAGTGCTCTTTTGTACAATAACAAAAACAAGGTAAAAAGGATCACTATTCGATTGAATTTGATCGACTCGAATCAGATACTGAACGTTTGTTTCTCAATCGTTTCGTCGAGATTCTGAAACGAAAAGAAAAATACCAGATTATTGTTTTCTTACAACAGTAATAAAAAAATATATACTTTTGTTTTTTCTTCGTGGATATCGATTGTACAGAGGACATAGAAATAGTTGTAGCTGTTGAATAATTCCGATGTACAGATGTTTTACCATTATTAATATCATCTTGCTCGAGCTCTTGTGTATCATTTGTGGCGATATCCGACTTTTTAGTGGTTGTTGTTGTTGGAAATTCCGCCATTATTTCTTTATGTTTTTGAATATTTCGGCGGCGTTTTTTCTCTTTCTCACGTTTTAATTTTTCACGTCCAAGTAATGTATACGATGTTGCAGATGAATAAGAAAATAGTCGATCAGATTCACGAAATTTACATGGTGCTTGAGATTTATCGGCTGCTGGACTGAAATATAAGATTTGTTTGTTTAAACTATTACACACATCATTTACACACTTACTTATTCAAATAACCATACCAACCACGAATACAGTTGCCTAAAAAGACTAAGAAAAGTAAAGTATAGCACAAAACAAATTCAATTCAAAGTTTCAACCTGTATCTTGTGTCTGTTTAAGATAGCCAGTTTCAAATGCATATATTTGCTCTTCAACGTCCCCCAATGATTTCTGAATAAAAAAAAACAAATTTTAATGTAACTTCAGTTTGATAAAATAACATACCTCAAGTTCCTCTTTTTTTTTTAATAATGAAGCGAGCTCAGCTCGCGTATCCCGAAACGCTTTTTCCTTTGTGTCTTTCATCTAAAATAGAAAATTGCAAAAAACCGCTATTGTTTAGCACCAATTATGCATACATTGCGTTCGGTAAATATATCGATAATTCTCAGACAAGGGTATAGTATAACGACAAACACCCTACACCTTCTCCTACACTATTTATAGCTACTATTTTCTGCCGATCAGTTTTCTTCTCTAAATTATACAATAGAATTTAAAAAAAGTACTTGATACAATCAGTCTGATCGGACTTCGGCTCTGCCTTTATATTCTTTTCCATCTTTCCTTTTTTTTTCTCTTATGCATAATACCCACTAAATGCGTCAACCAATAGAAGGATCGTCGCGCCCAACAAGCGTATAAAGCTAGCGCCATCTCTTGTCGCACAGCACGATGTATGTTCAATAATGCAAACAACGTTTTCTATAAAGCATAACTCTAGTCGATCTTTTTCCCTCTGCAACGATATTTAAACTAACCTCTCTTACGTTTTTCCTTTTGCGGTTGGCATTATGACGTGTAAGTTTAACAGAAAAATTTTCCTGCGATATATACATACATTTATATATACACATATATATAGACATATATACGGCGTGGCCAGCTAACGGTCCACCGTCGGATGCGAAGGTTCGAATTGTTGTTTTAACTTGAGCAATGCTTAAAAATACATCATTAGACGCAGTTTTTCACGCTGATTACGAATCCGCACTTAAAAACAAATTAAAGT